GTGTGGACATTGTGACTGTTTTTCGAAAACGAGCATATGACAAAACGTGCACTTATCTCTATGGAGCATCTGGTGACTGGATGATTACTGAGGTGAAGACATGGAGTCGGCCATGTGCAGCTGGATGTGGAGATGTTTGTGTTATGCATTTAAATGCTTAATGTCGTTTGAATAAATGAATTCATGAAAAAGATTCCAAGTAATGCAAGAAAACAGAAAAAAAAGAAATGCCGCCTTAAGAAAAAGTCCCTAAATTTTAAAATGATTTTTCGCTAGCAGAGCGTGCAGCGACTTATGGTGATAAATGGGAAGGACGTATCGACATTGTGACTGTTTTTCGAAAAGGAGCAAATGACGAAACGTGCACATATCTCTATGGAGCCTATGGTGACTGGATGATTTCTGAGGTGAAGATGTGGAGTTACTCATTAAAAACGTGTCTAAAGACTGGTCATTCAAAAAGTGACCAAGTCATAGTCAGCTGTCAGTCAGCTGAAGAAATCTCTGATTTTTTTTTTCTGATTGACGGGATACCCATTTTCCGACGAGATCGGCTTTACCCAAACGATGTAAATGGTCCCCAACGGTTGTGTGGCCTACAGCAAACATCGTTGCAAGTTCCCGAGTTGACAAGGTTGGACCATCTTCTATGGCTTCTCGAAGATTGTCATCGTTGAGCTCTGGAGGGGGGTGACCACGTTCTCGACCCTGTAGAGTTTCGTCTCCTTCTCTAAATCGTCGAAACCATTCTTTACAAGCTTCCTCTGATAAGCAGCTTCTCCAAAAATTTCCAAGATTGAGCGATGGCTCTACCGGACACTTTTTCCTTGTTTGAAGTCGTAGAGCAAGCACACCCGAACTCGGTACTTCTGATCTTCCATTCCAAAAAAGGTTAAAATTATAAGGCAGTAAATTTTTATAAAATCAGAATTAGAAAAGATATATAACTTTACAACAAAACAAAAATCAGAAACGAAACTGTTCACTACACCGGAAAAATTGCAAACGAAGTTGAGGGTATTTTCATTCCGGACACCCTAATATGAAGATGCGCCAAGCATTCGTGGATTCCTTTTTAAGAAGTTCCAGTCAAACTTTTTCCGAGAACTTTCTTTCCAACCAAAATAGGTTTCATCTTACTAAAATGTGCAAATGGTGATCAAATACAACTCAGAAAAATCAAAATCAAGAAGAAAACTTTAGAAAATATATGTCGTAGCCGTTCACGAAATTCGGCCGCTAATGAATCATTCGTTAGCGGCTAGCCGATTACGAATGAAATTTTTTCGCTAGCCGTGTACGATTTGTTATCGGCTTCTGCGAACATGGCTCGATTCAAATGAATTTTTGATTTCAAACTATTTATGCAAAACGGAAATCAGCAAACTAATCACAACAAGTGAAATGAAATTAATAACATTTAACATGTATAACATATTAACGTTTATAACGTAATAACGATTATAACAAACAAAGCATCAACTAAAATGCATGCGGAACTGATTGAAGATCAATTACGTCGACTTGGCATTGGTCATTTTGCTCCTTCGTTATGATCGGCTTCACAACAACTCCTTTTTTGGCGTCCCCTTCTTTAATTCACATTCTTAGCAAAGTTTGATACAAATCTCGAGTATTTTCTTTGAGATCCCGTGATAATCACCTCCCAGTTCTTTCCACATCAGATCCTGGCCGGCGTGTCCTAATCTTTTGTGAGTTGACGTCAAAATATCGAAGAGTTCCTCTTTCTTGACGGCTCGTTTTGGTTGTTCGTTCGCTTTTTTGTCTCCATGATTGTAGAGTATCGTTGATTGCTCAATACATTGAATCGAGTAACGATGTGCCCAATTTGCCTCTTCTGTCGTTCTCTTCCGTTTCTCGCTTTCACGTTCACTTGACATTGTTGTCAAGCTGTTCACAATTTCATTGTATTTTTTCGTCGTTATGCGTTCGCTTTCTCAAGACTTGATACGCGTCAAATTGGTTGAGAAATGAATTCATTCTGAAAAAAACAAATGATTATGTATAATAAAACCAAAGAATAATAAAAAAAACAGAAAGAAAATGAATCCGAAATTTTTGATAACAATGGGGAGAAGTCCTGCCGGAGGACCCAATTTCAGCAAAGGGGCATTTTGACAACTTTTAATAACTCGCTTCAAAATCAATTTTTTTCTTTTTTGCATAAAAAATTTGAAATCAAAAGCATGGTAAATTCATTTGAAGCTAGCCATGTTCGCAGAAGCCGATTACAAAGATTTCGTACACATCTAAGGAAAAAATTTCATTCGTTAACGGCTAGCCGTTTACGAACGATTCGTTAGCGGCTAGCGAAAAATTTCATTCGTTAGCGGCTGAATTTCGTAAGCGGCTACGACAAAGATAAGAGAAACAAGGCACTCGATTCAACGATTGATTTGATTTTCAAACAGACAAAAAATTTCAGGTTTATATCATAATAGACTTATGATACGGTGATCATTACATTGGTATCAATATCAATAACATTGATCAATATCAATAAAATCGATCAAGACGATCATTGCATTGATCAGTAACAATAAAATATCAATACCAATTTTACGAGTATGCAAAATTTTAGTCTCTATTTATTTTGTTAAAATTGAGTCACTTCAGCTGAAGAAATCTCTTATTTTTTACCTGAAGCCAACTCTGATTTTTTTGTCAAAAGCTTTTTGAAATATAGTCAAGTTTATGAAAAAATCTAGGAAGAATTAATGGCTTAGTTTTTGAGAAATCACCGTGCAAACTTTTTCCGGGAACTTTGTTTCCAACCTAATAATTTGGAAGGGACCTTTATCCGGTTAGAACCGCAAAGCCTTGTGTTAGCCCACTTAGGTAACTGCTTAATTCAAAAGCTTAGATCAAAATCTAGGTGTTTGATCATATTTTTGAATGAAGTACTTATTTTTAGGTTTCCAACCTAAATAAGTTTCATCTTACTAAAATGTGCAAATGGTAATAAAATACAAATCAGAAAGATCGAAATCCAAGAAAAAACTATTTTTTCCCGCGCAACAAAATGATAGATCCATCTTGATTTAACAGCTTTATTTTATAATTTTAACCAATAAACTCCAACAAAAACCTGCAACAAAAGATAACGTTGATATTTAATAGATTTTCCGCCATTTTTGATAAGCATATTCATTCGCTTTGGCATTGGTTCGACGAGCGCATCCATCTGAACTCTTCCGATTCGGTTCCATGCGCTCACTACTGCTTTTTTCAACTCGGTGCCTGTCTAATAGTGCTTTCCATTATCGTAAACATCACGAACCAGCATTCCCCAAAGACTTTCAATGGGATTGACATCGGGCGAACAAGATGGCCAGTCCAATGTTTCGATTTTGTTTCGCTTGAGCCATCGTTTAGTGCTTGCAACTGCATGAACTGGTGCATTATCATGCATGAAAACCATCGACTTATTTGGAAAAACACGTAGGTACGGTAAAAGCTTATTCTCTAGCACTTTTTGATAATCCTGAGAATTCATTTTTGAATGGATGAGTTCGATCTCAAGCTTTCCATATGAAGAAAATGCACCCCAAATCATGACGGAACCTCCACCAAAGTTTCTTTTTGTAAAATACTGAGGCGATGTGCGGGGATCATGCCAATAGTACGAAAGGCCGTCGGGACCGTCCAAATTGAGTTTCTTTTCATTGGACCATACAACCTAAATTTGCTTGTAAAAGAATATAAATTTTGGAAATTACCTCTTTCCATTCATTCGTCCAAGTCTGATGATCATCCGCAAATTTTGCCCTCGCAGCAATGTGATTCGGCTTTAAAGTAGGGGTTGGCATCATTTTGACTCGCTTTAAATGAGGTGAGTTTTTGATGACACGATAAACAGTCATATGCGAGACATTTAAGCCCAACTCATTTCGAAATTCTTCGAGATCCTTTAATAGAATTTGTGGTTGTTTTGATGATGGCTCATTTCCCGCGTTTCATTAGTTTTCCTTTACGTCCGGTAGATGCCTTTTTCCCATATGAAGTCGGATTCTTCGGGAAATTGTTGATCACTTTATGAGAACGGCCCAATTTTGTTGCGTTTTTGCGGTTGCTCCGTCCAGAGGCGTGGAATGCTTCAACTTTGGCTTTTTCGACAACAGACAAACGTCCTTTTCTACCCATAATCTAAAAAAGACCTTGAGTTACGGATAGTACAAAAAGAAAACTGAACAACATCAATTGATAAACGAAAACGTTGTTAAATCAAGGTGGATCTATCATTTTGTTACGCGGGAAAAATGACGAAAAGCATAGAAACATTTCTATAAGCGCAATGTCTTCGCGATGAAATAACAGTTTGATGCAAATTGATTTAAAACTAAATTTTGAACTTGTTTTTGGTCAAAACTTGAATTTTTATTCAAAATGTCTAGTTCCTGGGGCGAAAAACATGGTGGATCTATCATTTTGTTACGCACTGTCGTCAACAACTCGGCTCGCTGGGGTGCACTACTATTAGAGAAAATACGATAATTAAAAACTTGCCTTATTTCCCGTTCATCATCCTAGTCTTTACCAAACATTGAGGCAAAGAGTGCTTCTGTAGGAATTTTCTATTTTTCATGAGTTATTGTAAATCTTCATCTCGACACCTTATTTCAGAATAAAGTATATAAAAACAAAAATTTGGCTACTCATATACTGCACTGGTACTGCACTTTGTCGTAAAAGCGCTAAAATTTTTTTTTTTGTTTTTCCATTAAATCATTTTGAGCCAAATATTATCAGGAAAAAAGGAAAAAAATGTATGATTCTATCAAAAAAATGCTTCTTTAATCGAATCATTGTCATAACATAGACCTTTAAATAAAAACATAAAGATTCGATAAGAAAATGAAGTAGTCAAATGAAATTCCTAAGTCTTAGTATTGATTTGAACAACTTCTCGTTTTTTTTAAACTAAACTTTCTCTTTTTACAATTCACATTTCATAAAAGTTGCTTTTCAGTTGCTTGTCAATGAAGAAAGAATTAATTTCCTTCTTTGTGGCTTCACTGGCACAAATTGTGACAGCCGATGAAGGTTCGTTTGTTTCGATCGATTACTTTGTTCTTTTTTTGTTGCCCAATTCTTCTACTGACTATTTTTTTAGAATGGATTGAAGATTGCAACAGCCAGAGTGAAAACATTCACATTCATTCGGCTGGTGGCAACTGGAGAAACTTTTCGAGTGATGTGATGTCTAAGTAAGCGTTTTCGTGAAAACTTTCCCAGCTCGGCCCGGTAGAAGCCTTAATGAGCTTTGGACTCGATCAAGGCTTGCCCCCTATGGCCAGCCCTTGGCTCAAGGCCACTAGGGACAACCCTTCTCATCCTGTCTTCATCTTTCATTTACAGTCAATATTTTTTGCTCGATCGAAAGTTCACGTGCACTGCTGATCCAGACCATTTCGCGCTTGTTCGAGTGGGAGTTTCTCTTTCAGTCTATCCTCAGAAATGTGTTTCAGATAAACGACCAGATGGATTCACCGTCAGACACAAAAACTATCACTTGTGGATCGGAGCGTAAATGGTTGTACAAAGGTGAAGTCGTTGTCTCTGTTGGATGCTACACAGGCACACGGGTGAGTTTTTACGTTCAGTTGAAGGTATTGCGAAAAAAAAGTTGTTAGTAAATCCACGAGAGGCAGCAGGCACAGGAAGCTTTTAGGCAAATTGGATCCAAAAGTCCGAAGAAGAGGAAAAAATTCAAAATTGGATGGCCGAGCATCACGGAGTTAAAGAGGATCAAAAGGATTGGACATGGGGCAGCACCCAGTATAAACAACAAGAGAAAATGCAGAGAATGGCTTCGGAAATCTATAAACTTTTGCTTAACACCGATAATATGTAAGTTTTAGCTTAGCTCCTTATCAACGCCAAAAGGGTTCTTGTAATACATCCTGAAAAATAAACCCTCGATCATTTCCGTTATACATCTGCTAAATTTGCATCTTTCCATGAAAATGAACAAGGAAAACCAGAGAAAATTCTTTTTTCGCTGTTTTCTAAGGGCGCGGTGGAATCATGTTTCGCTTACCGACTATGGAAGCTGATGCAATCTCGTTCTTTCAACAACGCATCTTGCTTACTACTCGCGCATGCGCCAACTTCACGTTATGAAGCTATTGCTCAATCAGAATCCATCAGGATGTGACAAAACGTCGTGCGGGACAGCGATCGACCTGCGTGTTGGCTCATGGATGGAGAGAACCAAAATCCCGTTTCTCACAATCCTATGATTATGGATGGACTCAACAGTGAACCTCGATCAACTATTGTGCGAAAGAATTGGAGATGAATCACCGCGGTCGACTTGAACAACTAGGATTCTTTGCCTGGAATATCTGGTGAACAAGCTGAGAGGAAAAATTGGAGAAGTCAATCGAATTGACGAAGTGAACGAGGTTTTCTTCTCGAAATGTGGGCCGAATCTGGCCGCAAGTGTGGATATTTAGAGGAGTTTGCGGGAAACCAAGGAATGTTCTCTGGTTGAGGTGACCCCATTGGAAGCGATGATTCAGCACATCAAGCCGGCAACCCAAATTTACTCCGATTGTTTGCGAGGATACAATACGGAACAGATGGAAGAGGCCGGCTATACCCAAGGTCAACCACAAGTACAACTTCCTGAATCCGAAATTTCTGGCTGGGTGTTTTGAAGCTAACGTATAATTAAATCTCTCGAGTTAGTTGACACCCTCCCCTCCTTTTCTGCGCCCCCTCCGAAACTGTAACAATACTAGGATCTATCTCTTAGCCTTTAAAAGCAATATCGTGACCAACCCTTCAAAGCACTTATACTGGGAAGGCATGGCCTAGGTGATTAGCTTTAGCGTTCTATCTACAAAACGACTCCTCTACGCAGGTGTCGGGTTCGAATCCCGTCCGTTCCAAACGTTTTTCTTTTGTTTTCAAGCATGGAGTTGAAGTATGCAAAGCACCGTATTTATTCTAATAGAAGCACAACCTCCAATAGAACCAACAATCTAGATTCCTCAAAATCTTTCGAAATCTTGACTTTAGACCCCGATTGTGACCCCTCTGGGGAGCGATCTAGACCTAAAACTTCCGAATATACCATCGATAGTAAAATTAAAAACATGGTTTTCTAAAAGACAAAAGTTTTTTAGAGAAAAACTCAGAAGGGGGGACCACATGGATTTTTTTTGGAAGAAGCATCAACAGAGTTTTGAAAAATAAAAAGCTTTGATCTGAAAACACGTTTTTTGTACGTTTTGAGCCAAACCCTATCAATTAACAAAGTGTTGAAAAAATTCGAAATTTTTGATTCATGTATTCCCCCCTTACCTACTTATTTGGACGGCCGTTTTGCCCCTTAGAGACCCCTGTTCGCGGCGAGGCAACTCAAATTTGCATACTTCAACTCTATGTTTGAAAAGATTTGGTTTGGCAAAAAGATTGGAACGGACGGGAATCGAACCCGACACCCCTTTAGGGCAGTCGTTTTGTAGACGAGGCACTAACCACCTCGGCCACGCCCTCCCTCCCATAGACAGCCGAGGCAAAAAGAGACGTGGCTATCTGTTTTTTCTGATTTTTGCTACGGCAAATTGCTACGGTATGGATTCCTCTTTGATTGATCATCAGGGGTTATTTTTGTGGATGTATAACGGAAAGGAACCGCGAAAAGTTGCTGAAAAAAACTTTGATTTACAATGTTTTCTGTGATTTTCAGAATCAGAAAACAAGTCGCCGTTCTACCGGCAGACTATGTGAATGCTATTTGGGAAGGAAACTTTTTCTCAGAGGACAACTACTACATGAGAACGGGTTTCGTTGGCTTTGGAGAAAATAACTCTGTGCTGAAATTTGCGAATTATGTGATATTTGTGTTTCGTGGTGGCTTTCCGGACAGATCGAAGCCTGATGCAAAAGAAGAAATCAGGTCAGACGAGGATTTATTAGGCTGGCGAATAAGTAATGGTGGATTTGGTGGGAGCTGCTCTCAAACTTAATCAATCTCTGGTCTGATTCGCAAGCTGTATTCAAGAGGAACACAGTAGCGAAGCCCAGATGTTGATTTGTTCCGTTTTCAATTTTCAAAAGAATTAAATGGTACTCAGTCAGCTTGGTACCCAAAAAAGTGTCCAGAAAATAAAAACGCATCCAAAGTTTGGGTGTCTACTCCGGGAAATCGTGCCGCGGGAACAAACATGTTTTTATCCTAGGTTTTTAACCGAAAAATTGACCAATTGTGATTTTGACACTTTTTTCGGTCGGACTAAGCTCACTTAAATGCTTATAAAAATTTGAAAACCGAACCAATCAAAAAATGGTTTTCGCTACTGTGTTCCTATTTCGAATACGACCGAGCTCGTTCAGATTGGTTAAGTTTGAGACCATCTGCCAGCAAATCCGTACCCTCGGATCAACAAATCGCCAAGCCACAGCTAAAATTTGATGATCCTGAAATGTGATTTTGACACTTTTTTGGGTATCAAGCTGACTGAGTACCATTTAAATCCTTATAAAATTTGAAAACGGAACAAATCAACAAATGGTCTTCGCTAATGTGTCCCTCTTGAATACAGCTTTTGAATAAGACCAAAGATTGGTTAAGTTTGAGGCTAGCTACCGGCAAATCCACCATTACTTATTAGCCAGCCTAATATCTATTATGGGCTGGTTTGTTAGTGGGGCCGCAACCCCAAAATCATTTGGAAAATTGAATTAAAGGTGTTCTTGAACAGTTCCTAGTTTTTAGTAAAAGGTTATGAATACTTATAAATCAAAAATGTAATTTTGGCTTAAAAATAAAAACAAAGGCACGTTAGAATCAGGCCGGGATCGGCTCTGGCTTTTTTCAACCCTGTTTACAATGGTTTGAAAAACTTCTTTACATGCTTTGCCTTAAAACTGGAGCGGTCAATCACTGGTCAGAGTCAGAATTGAGACAATACCTTATTTTAGTCGTTACTTTCAAGATGGTCTCAAACGGATAGAACGACACGACGGGATCCAATCGCTAGCAGAGCGTGCAGCGACTTATGGCGAAAAATGGGAAGGACGTATCGACATTTTGACTGTTTTTCGAAAAGGAGCAAACCACAAAACATGCACTTATCTCTATGGAGCATCTGGTGATTGGATGATTTCTGAGGTGAAGACGTGGAGTCAACCATGTGTATATGGATGTGGAGATGTTTGTGTTGTGCATTTAACGGCTTGATGTCGTTTGAATAAAGGAATACATGAAAAAGATTCCAGGTAACGCAAGAAAACAGAAAAAAAAGAAATCCGGCCTTAAAACAAAGTCCCTAAATTTTAAAATGACTTTTCATGTAGTTGACATTTTAAAATTGAACAATAGTTGATTACATTCACATTTTTAAAATAGTTTTTTTCAATTTTGATTTCATTAAGTCCATTTAGATTCCTTTCAAACTTCAAAAATGTCTCCAAAAAATCAGCAAAAGCACAAAACGAGAAATGAAAATCTTTGTTCTTCTACTTTGACTTCATGCCTGGTTATTTCAATAGTTCAAATAAGTCAAATCAGTAATTTTTGGTGATTTTAAGTATCTTAAGTAACTATAAAGTAGGCGCCAAGCTTTCGTGGATTCGTTCTTAAGAAATTCCAGTCAAACTTTTTCCGTAACTTTCTTTCCAACCTAATAATTTGGAAGGGAACTTTATCAGGCTAGAACCGCAAAGCTTTGCGTTAACCCACTTAGGTAACTGTAACTCCTTAATCCAAAGGTTCAGCTCAAAATTTAAGTGTTTGATCTTATTTTTGAATAAAGTATTTATTTTTAAAACAATATAGCTATATAGCGGATGAAGCAGAACTTCCCAGCTCAATTCTTCGATTTTCTGCTGAGTGATCTTCGCGGTGTGGGGTCGAGCATTATGGTGGAAGAATTTTGTAGTGGCCGTGTTTGACGACGCAACGCCTGGTCCACGCGGCTCAATTGGGCTTTGTTGAGATCCGCCGTGACTTTTTGGCCCAAATCTAGCACCTCAAAATACACGAGACTTTTACTGTTCCACCAAATACAAAGCATCACCTTTTTTCCGTGGATATTCGGTTTTGGCGGCTCACCGGCCTCCAACCACTGCCGTTTTCTCGTTATGTTTTCGTAACATATCCACTTTTCATCTGACTTAACAATAGTGTCGAGAAAACCGGCGGTCTTTGCCCAGCGGACGAGAATTCCAGCGATTGTAACTTGAGACGCCTTGTTTGCGTCGCTGAGCTGATATAGCACCCATTTTCCACACCGATTCGTCTTACCAATTGCGTGCAAATGGCGGAGGATGGTTGCATGGTCGTAGTCAAACGGCTCTGCAAGCTCCCGAGTTGTTTGGCATCCATCCGATTTGATAGCGTTCTTCAACTCGTCTTTGTCGACAATTTGAGGCGGATTCCCGCGTTTTTTGTCTTCCAAACTTTCATCACTGTCTCAGAAGCGCTGAAACCAAGTCCGGCATTGACGTTCGGACAACACGTCATCGCCGAATGCTTTGCAGAGAGCACGATGAGATTCCGCAGCCTTTCTGCCTTGATTAAAAAACATACAATAAGCAAATCCGCACTCTAAATTTTTGGTCAACCATTTTCTAGAAGCTAAAAATTACTTCAAATTAATTAAACACGCATGAGTCATATATAAAAAGACGCGCAAAGAGACGCTCTTTCAGATAGATAAACATATTCAATAAAAACTTTAATTATGTCCGGAAAATAACCAAACAAGTGTGACGGAAGTTTCACCTGCACCAGCCTAATATTTACAAGTGGACTCCAAGAAATTACTCGTAAAAAAAGAGTGCAGCTTTCCCTTAAAATTTTAATCTATAATCTCTATTTTTAGCCAAAATTTTTTTTGACAGAGAAGCTTTTTTTTCTTGGCACCGAGTGTTATAGGTGATTCTGAAAAGTGAAAGCGTTTGATCAAATTGGCCTTAATCACAAATTTTCCCTATTTTAAGTACTTCATTTTAGGTTTTGAAATGGAACCCATTACCTTTACCATTGGCCTACCGAAATTCAGACTTCGTCTTGGTCCTTGAAGTGTTTATCGGACAGGAATCGCTTCATAAATCGAAATAAGAGGTAGTCTGCGGGTGCCAGATTTGGAATATACGGCGGATGCGGGAGGCATTCCCTTGCTCGTGTCTTTCCTGCGTCTTCTTTGCTGTGTGTAGGCGCGCGTTATCTTGCAGATCTCTCACAGTCGATGTGTTTACATCTTGATTCTTGAGAGCCTGGTCTAATCATTTCAGGTGTTGTACATATATGGATCTGAGGTGACTGTTGGACCAGAAGGTAGAACCTCAAAGTGCATAAGACCACGGGAATTCCAAGTTCCAAGTTCCCGAGTTGACAAGGTTGGACCATCTTCTATGGCTTCTCGAAGATCGTCATCGTTGATCGCTGGAGGGGGTGACCACGTCCTCGGTCCTGTAGAGTTTTGTCTCCTTCTCTAAATCGTCGAAACCATTTTTACAAGCTTCCTCTACTTCGTTCGTTCGTTCGTTAGCGGCTAGCCGATTACGAATGAAATTTTTTCGCTAGCCGTGTACAATTTGTAATCGGCTTCTGCGAACATGGCTCGATTCAAATGAGTTTTTGATTTCAAACTATTTATGCAAAACGCAAATCAGCAAACTAATCACGACAAGTAAAATAAAATTTATAACATTTAACATGTATAACATATTAACGTTTATAACAAACAAAACATCAACTAAAATGCATGCGGAACTGATTGAAGATCAATTAAGTCGACTTGGCAGTGGTCATATTGCTCCTTCGTTATGATCGGCTTCACAACAACTTCTTTTTTGGCGTCCCCTTCTTTAATTCACATTCCTGGCAAAGTCTGATAAAAATCTCGAGTATTTTTTATTGAGATCCCGTGATAATCTTCTCGCAGTTCTTTCTACATCAGATCCTGGCCGGCGGGCCCTAATCTTTTGTGAGTTGACGTCAAAACCTGGATGAGTTCCTCTTTCTTGACGACTCGTTTTGGTTGTTCGTTCGCTCCTTTGTCTCCATGATTGTAGAGTATCGTTGATTGCTCAATACATTGAATCGAGTAACGACGTGCCCAATTTGCCTCTTCTGTCGTTCTCTTCCGTTTCTCGCTTTCACGTTCACTTGACATTGTTGTCAAGCTGTTCACAATTTCATTGTCTTTTTTCGTATGCGTTCGCTTTCTCAAGACTTGATACGCGTCAAATTGGTTGAGAAATGAATTCATTCTGAAAACAAACAAATGATTATGTATTAGGTTGATGCAAAATTCTTTTTCATTTTTTTCGTACTTCTGTTAAAAAGTAACAAATGCACCAATTAATCTATAGTTTGCTCTATAAAAAAAGGGTTTTTTTGTTCAATTTCCATCTTTTTAAATCAATTTCGGTTCACTTTCAAGCAAATTCGAGAGTGAAAAATGCAAAAAAAAATAAAATTGTAAAAATCTTTTTTTTTCGTAAAAATCTATAAAAAACTCTACGGAAAAATTGGCTGAATGAATTTCTCTGAAATTTTGGCGAAATATCAAACTTTTTTTTCTCTATCTTTTATCTATTGACACAAAGATAGGTTTTCTTTAGCTAAGGTGTCTAAACCGCATCATCGAGTTAGCCCTTTTTGACTACCCGACTTCATACTCTCAAGAAAATCCAGGCATAAAATATTTTTAAACCCGTTTTAATGTTATTTTGCAGAAAAATAATTGGTTTTTCTAATGAAATCAACCGTAGTTTAATTGGTGCATTTGTTGGCTTGAAACGGCAGACGAAAAAAATGAAAAAGACTTTTGCATCAACCTAATATAATAAAACCAAAGGATAATAAAAAACAGAAAGAAAATGAATCCGAAATCTCTGATAACAATGGGGAGAAGTCCTCCCGGAGCACCTAATTTCAGAAAAAGGGCATTTTGACAACTTTTAATAACTCGCTTCAAAATAAATTTTTTTCTTTTTTGCATATAAAATTTGAAATCAAAAGCATGGTCAATTCATTTGAATCTAGCCATGTTCACAGAAGCCGATTACAAAGATTTCGTACACATCTAGTGAAAAAATTTCATTCTTAATTGGCTAGCCGCTAACGAATCATTCGCTAATGGCTACCCGTTTACGAACGATTCGTTAGCGGCTAGCGAAAAATTTCATTCGTTAGCGGCAGAATTTCGTAAACGGCTACGACATATATAAGAGAAACAAGGCACTCGATTCAACGATTGATTTGATTGTCAAACAGACAAAAAATTTCGAGTTTATACCATAATAGACTTATAATACGGTAATCATTACATCGATATCAATATCAGTAACATTGATCAATATCAATAAAATCGATCAAGACGATCATTGCATTGATCAGTAACAATAAAATATCAATACCAATTTTACGAGTATGCAAAATTTCGAGAATGAAACGCTGTAGTGCCCGCAATTTTGAACCTAAACACATTTAGTACCAATCGACGCAGAATTTAATCCCCTAACAAACGAGATAAGATTCTTCTTATACATTAAAGGGTTGTTCTACTAGAAAGGTTCGCCGAAAAGTTTCATTCAAAATCGACTACGACATATATATTGCCAATGGCTTGCACATTGGGATGCACAACAAGAAACACTTTTTATTTAGAGAAAACCATAGGTTAATTGGTTAGAATTTGTTATTTTTTAATGGAATTACGAAAAAGAAAGAAAAGACTTTCTGGAAAAGTTTAAATAGATATAAAGAACAACACAAAAAAGATATCCGAACAGTTTTTTTTCAAATAAAGTCTTGGCAAGTGTTCATTGAGAGAAACGTATTCAATGGTTGGATACAGAAAAAAAGGATGATTGAAATTGAAATGAAAAAAGGATGATTGAAATTGAAAGGAACGTTAAAATTTCCAACTCCAAGATTTCAAGAAAGGCACAAAAGCGGAGAAGTTTAGCAAAACGTAAAAGTACACCGGTTTTTAGA